AGACCTGCACTACCTTGGGACTCCATTAGTAACAAGTCCATATCACCAGTCCATAACAGTCCATATGGCCCATCACATTGGGCCTCTAGAAACATGAGCTAAACAAACCTTTTTTCTTTATAAAGTAGCCTGTCTTGAGTATTCCATTATAGTAAAACAAAATAGACCAATGTATTCTCTCATCTGGACTATAACATAGCCTCTTCCCTTTTTTCTCCAGGACTCTTTTCTACTTGGCCCTGCAATTTTTTTAGAAATATTTTTAGTTGTGGATGGACACAATACTTTTATATTATTTATTCATTTTTTATATGGTGCTAGGGATCAAATCCAGTGCCTCACATGTGCTAGGCAAGTACTCTGCCACTGATCCACAGCCCCAGCCCAGGGACCTGCAAATATTTTAAAGACAGGAATCTTATTATGTTATCCCACTTTACTTAAAACCCTTCCCTGACATCCGGGAGGCCCATGGGACTTCCCAACTGATCCAGCTGTGCTTTCTCAGTTCCTTGAGAGTGCCACACCCCCATCATGGGCCCTGCACAAGCACCTCACCTTGCCTGATAAACTTTTCTCCTTTCTCTGTGTGGTCTACTCCTACTTATCCCTTGGAGCTCAGCAGAGGCATCTGCCCAAGGAATGCCCTTCCTTGCTCCCTGGCTGCTAGGAGCTCTGCTGCTACCACTCCCTGTATTTCCCTGCACACGTCACGATCACAGTCCTACCTCTGTGTGAGACTACCCGATTCCTGCTTGTCGCCCCTTCAGGGCTGAGTCTGCTTTCGTTTACCACTATACCCTCAGTGCTAGCAGTTTCTGGAGCCTATGTTCCCTCAATACGTATTTGTTACCATCTGATTACATGAATGTAGCGGACAGGGCAGCCTTATTATAGATTTACCAATTAACACTTGATTAAATAACTTAAGGATTTAGATGACAGGCATGTGATCATCTTAAACAATCAAAGACTTGACATTATTCACTCTTTTGTACAATACACTTATGAGAACAGGCATTCTCTACGTTGATATTAAAATCAAAATGTAAATTCACATTACATATAGAATCAGATAGGAGATTATCTTTTTACAGTCAAACCCAACTCTGGTGATTTCATTTCAGTAACACAGTGTCATCTGCCACATTAAATTATAGTTGGCCCTCTGCATCCTTGTGTTCCACACCTGAGGGAACCTCATCTATAGAGGGAAATAATCAGATAAAAAGAATTTCAACTGTACTGAAAATGTGGAGTTTTTCTTAAACTTATTTCCTAAATAACATAACTGTATACATAGTATTTATATTGTATTAGGTTTCTCCTCCTCCTTCTCCTCCTGATTGAACCCAAGTTCTTGAGACAAGGTCTTGCTAAATTGCTGAGACTGTCTTTGAACTCACCTTCCTCCTGTCTCAGCTTCCCAAATTCCTGGAATTATAGGCATGCACTAATATGGTAATCTAGAGAAAATTTCAAACATGAAGGAGGATGTRCAAAGGTAATATGCAAACACTATGCCATTTCACATAAGGGACCTGAGCACCCTCAGCGTTTGTTACCCTCAGGGGTCCTAGAACCAATTTCCCCTGAATACTAAAGAACTACTATCTATAATGTTTGTTTGTAGTTTTCTAGTTTTTAAACTATGTTTATTTACTTTAAAGATCTGATTTGGTTTTATGGTTGTATTAAGTATTTAAATATGAGAACTTACATCTAGACTTTTGTTTAAATACCAGTACAGTAAAATACATATAAAATATATTAACATGGGATATCCAGGAGCATTTTTGTCTTTTAGAAACAGGGTTAATACATTATTCATGTTGAAAAACCCTGATGTATTGGAGAAGAAGTTGAAACCTATGTGACCTCATAGAGCCCTCCAAGTATAATATGATTCCAATCTTATATTGTACACCACCAAAAAACAGAGGGACAGAATGCCGATACTCTCTGAAGCTCTATGGAAGGAATTCAGAAGGGAGTCAAAAGGAGAAGGCAAGGCATCCTCACAGTGGACACCAGATCACACCAGGCATCATTAACCAACAAAGCTTTCCCAAGCAATCAGGTTCCTAGAAGCATATTGTATAGAAGGAATTATATACTGACATCTCAAAAATATCCAAGGAAGAACTGAAAAACAAAACATTGCCAGACAGTAAATGAAACAAAACACCAGAGAGCCTCTTACTAGGCCAAGTTTGTTTAAATGTAGAAAGTTGATTTTCACCACAAAAAAAAAAAAAAAAAAAAAAGATAAGGAAATGGACATATTAATCAGCTTGATTTAGCCTTCTAAACATATTTCAAAACATGTTAAACATCATGTTTACATCATTATTGGTGAACTTAAAAAAAAATCAAATGACTTGCACTTACATAGTATTTATATTGCACTTAACATTAAAGAAGGCCAAATTAATAAAGAGATTCTCTTAGATCTTATATATTCAATGGCAGTAMTGAAGGTTGAACCCAGTGTTTCCCCCATGCTAGCTAAGCATTCTAACACTAAGGTAAACCCCATGGCTGGCCTCAACTTTGTAGTCTTGCCTCAGCCTCCTTCTGAGTCGCTGGGATTACAAGTGTGCACCATTGCACTCAGTTTATAATAAACTTTTTTTTTTTTTTTTGGTACAGGGGTTGAACCCAGGAGTGATTAACCACTGGGCCACACCTCCAGCCCTTAAAAAAAATAATTATATATATATTTACTTATTTTTTAATTATAGTTGGACACAATACCTTTATTTTATTCATTTATTTTTATGTGGTGCTGAGGATTGAACCCAGGGCCTCACACATGCTAGGCAAGCACTCTACCACTGAGCCACAACCCCAGCACCCCCAGCCCTTTTTAAATAATTTATTGAAAGACTGGGTCTCACTGAGTTGCTTRGGGCCTCTCTAAGTTGCTAAGGCTGGCTTTGAACTTGTGATCTTCTTGCCTCAACCTCCAAAGGTGCTGGGATTACAGGCATGGGCCACTGCACCCAGCTCATAATATATTTTTTAAAAATATTTTTTAGTTGTAGATGGACATAATACCTTTATTAATTTATTTTATTTTTTTATGTGGTGCTGAGGATCAAACCCAGTGCCTCATGCATACTAGACGAGTGCTCTACCCCTGAGCCAYAACCCCAGCCCTCATAATAGATTTTTTAAGACCAGTTTCAAACCTATTTCTCCTGGAGGCTTTTTGACCTAACCTCACACCCACTTATACTTTGGACTTTGGATAGTTCACATTAACTATCCTTCTGTGGCTATGATCCTTCATAATTACTTTCTTGTTCCTTGCAGTTGACCCAAATGAAACAACAGGTTTATTATGAGAGGAACTAAGACTTCTTTTTGTATTCCTCAAGGCCTAGAACTAGGAACTCAAAAAGTATTTATTAAGGTGGGGGGGGCATAGCTGGTGGAACATGCCTATAATCCCAGCCACTCAGGAGATTGAGGCAGGAGGATCTAAAGTTCCAGGCCTCCAGGCCAGCCTGAGCAATTTAGCAAGACTTTGTCTCAAAAAAAAAGTATGGGAGAGTAGCTCAGCAGTACAGTGCCCCTGGGTTTGATCCCCAGTACTGGAAAAAAGAAAAGGGCTTATGCAACGAAAAAAAAAAGCAGAATGTTATCATAAAAACCTATTTCATAAAACCTTATCTTTTGTTTTTGCATTTAGTATATTGAGAGACACGGTAAAGTACTGGAAAACCAATAGTTTTTCATCAAGTTAACTACTTTTGAAATGTTCAGGAGAAAAGACATTTAAATTCTGACTCTTTGCTTTTGAATGTCTCAGGAATTGGTTTTTAAAACAATCCTTAATGTTAAAAATATATCAGAAAACAGAAGTTGAAAAGGCTTGCAGTGTGTTAGCAATTTGAACGATAATAACACATTGATTTTAGTAGTAGAAATTGAAATACGACACCTGAARCAGCACTGAAACCTGGATGTGTGTAAACATCTACATCTTTGTGTCTGAATAAAATCAACTTCAAGTCATTTTAAAATATTCTATCTGAAAAAAGCCTGTACACRGTCTAGTTAATGTACGTTTTTAACTGAGCGTATCATAAGGACAATTTATCATTTTCATATACAAATAAAAACAACTTCATCTTTTAGTATCAAGTTCTGAAGAAACTACAACATTGAAAAAAAAAAGAATAAACATGTAGTTTCTGCTTATTAAATAGCTTGGGATGTTAAGCTTTTGGATATATAATTCTAATATGCTATTTCCATACAGTCTGAAGTTCAAATCATAAAATCTTTCTCAGTATTCAATGAAGCAAAACCATTTTTAGGACACTTGTTTAAAAGGTGGACAATTATTCTTCATTTAAGTACAAGGCAAGTATTTTAGACTAGTTCAATTAGAAATTTTTGTTCAGCAAATACAATTACTGTGGCTGATATTTACACTAGTAATCTAATAAAAAACAAGTTATTTATGGTTTTATTGGATAAATCATTATAAGTACAATTTGTAATTCACAATAAAGGTGAGCACTCTATCACTGAGCCACAACCCCAGCACTACCCAGTCCTTTTTTAAATATTTTATTTAGAGGCTTTATTTAAAAGTAGTCCTTTTCTAAAGAAAAGAATGTAGGTTACTGAAACAATGTATCTATTAAAAAGAAGCTTAAATAATATACATTAACAGAAAAAAAATGCACTAACACTGCTACCATAAAAATGCAAACCAAAAGTCAGTTCACACTAGAATCTTAAATACCTATATGCTGGGGACACTGCAGTTTATTGATCTACAGTCAGTTTTGGGCCAGGTGTTGAAGCAGAAATTTAAAATAATGTTACTGCATTCTTCACTAGCAAAGAGAATACCAAATTAGTTTCAAAAGTCCTTTCTGACAAAATAATGAATTCTTCCCCTCCCCCTCCAACAAGAGACCTTTTCTAAAGGGAGAGAAAAAATCCGCACTATAAATAAATAAATAATGCAAAACAGATACCTCCGGCCTCTTTGATGCTGCACAGCTTGACAAGCCGTTTGCATGAAAATAATTCCCTTCAGCTCTGGAAATTCAAGGATCTCAAGGTAATCTTGAACAACTTTCCAGTCTGGGATCACATAATGAGTCACATCACTAGACAAGAGCTTCCCCTCTGAAACATAATTCAAAATGTAAGATATTAGATAACATTTTCAAACCTGTTTTATTACTATCTCAATGTCATGGTGCCCCAGTGTGCAAAATAACTTCCCATCTTAATTCCAACATAAAGTTCTTTAAAAGATAAGACAAATCTACTTTGGTAGAAGCTCAAAGTTCAGGGAAACTCTGCGCCTTCTTTTTTTTGTTTTTGAAGCTGTGATAAATTCATGCACAAAGTGGTTTATGGTGTTGCTAGTGGTGCAGGAGAGGACAACTGATATTTTAAAAGCAAACAAGTACATTTCAGCACAAGCTGGATATCTCTGTCACCTCCTCATTGACATGCAATCACATTCAAATGAAACACTGTATGTATATGTTAACCACTTGTATGTACCCAGCAATTTCTAGTAGGTCATGTTTCAAGCTTCTAAACATGCTCAGAAGTCTCAAGTCCTAGAAAGATGGAATTGACCAGAAAAGATGCTTACTGGAAGCAACTGGAAGTGGTAGGCTTTCCACCCAGCTGAGAGCCCTTTAACCAAGCTGTAACTGAAACTGTAACCAAGCTGAACCCCAACCATAAACAGAATTCCAAGCATTCCCTGAAAAGGACCACCGTGCTCATCTCCCACGAGGGGGAAGGAACAGTAACCCTCATTGTTAAATGGGCCACTCCTGCAACTTGGAAACCAAGCGGGCAAGTCTGGTCCGCAGCAGTCTCCAATCCAGCTCTCACACCACCTTCCCCCACGACGAAGGCCTAGATAATTCCCGAGTCCTGCTCTCCACTGTATAAACGTTCACGGCGTCCGGGTTGGCCGGCCTGAAAATCTGAGGAGCGGAGGAGGCCATGTCAAGGGGGCGGCAGCGGCGCGCCGCAGCCTCTCACCGCAGAGCCCGAGCGGTCAGGAGCCGTCCCCCAGGCTGCGAGCCTGTAGAGGCGGGTGCCTGCGCCTCAGGGCCCCTCTGAAAATCCGAACCACCGGCCTCTGGGCTGGGAGGCGCCAGTCTCTTGGGCTCTTCCATTTGATCAGGAGAAGCCGCCGGAGCGTCCCGCGGCGAGCGCCCCTGCAGCCGCGGACCCGGGCCGCCCGCTCCCAGCCCCAGTCAGGCTGCGGGTGATCCTGAGGCGGGCAGAGGCCGCGGGCCTTGGACTCCGCGCCYTCGCCGCCTCGCGCTGCGCCCCCCGACGCTCCGCCCCGGCAGTCCTCGCTCGCGACCGGCCGCCCCCGTTCCCGCCAGGCCCCGGCTCCGCAGGCTTCGCCAGGCCCCGGCGCCGGCCCTCACCKTTGCGGCAGGCGGCGGGCTGCGGGCAGAGCGGGCTGTTGCACGGCACGCAGGGCCGCAGGTAGTGCTCACGCACGATCCGCAGCGTCCGGCCCTGGAAGGTCCTCAGCAGCAGGACCTTCTCCCGCTTCTGCAGCATGGTGGCAGCGCTCGGCCCGCGGAGCTCTGGGCCCCGGGAGGCCGCCTAGAGCTGCCGGGAAGCGCCGGAGGCGAGGCCGCGGCTTGGGGCCCGCCCTTCKGTCCCCGGCCCGCCCGGCCCACCCGGCTGGGGTGTGAGCGCTGCGGGCATCGAACCGCCCTAACGGACGGCCGTGCCGAGGGCTTGAGGCCCGAGGCCCGCGGGGCGGATTCTCCAGCCCAGGCCCAGGCCTCTAACCCTCCCTCCTGCACCTAAATTTCTTTCTAATCCGCAATTGCGTGGGCGTGGTAATAAAATATAAGGAATATATATGGGAGAGAGGTGATTAAAATGCACCCCAAATACTTAGGGGTGACTAGGACACTATATGCAAGAAAGCTTTTGTTTCATTTTGTTTTACGTGGTGCTGAGGATCCAACCCAGCCCCTGGAATGTGTGAGGCGAGTGCTCTGCCGCTGATCTACAACCCCAGCCCTTTCCTTATATTTTATTATGAGACAAGATCTCACTGAGTTGCTTAGGGCCTCACTAAGTTCTGAAGCTGGTGTGGAACTCGTGATCCTCCTGCCTCAGCCTACAGAACCATTGGGATTACAGGCATGCGCCATCGCGCCCCGCAGAACTTTCTTGACAGACTTGAGACAGAGGGGGTGCTGCACATATACCAGTTTAACTTCCACAAATCAAAGCAGTGGGCATTCACATCCACATTTTACAACTGAGGCAGGCTTAGTTATTAAGTGGTAGAATCCGCATTCAAGCCAGAATCTAATGAGTCCAAAGCAGATTCTTAACCTACTATTCAGAGATGAATAAAGCACAGTTCCTGCATCTAAGGAATTTATAGTGTATATATTTAGCAAGCTCTAGCTAAGACAGCTCAACCTTCTGGCTGGAAACATCACAGCCTCCTATTCTGCTTAAGTAAGCAGAATTGAGGGTGCCCTATTGGATCTCTCCCTTTATTCTAAGGGAACACGGTAAAAATAACCATGGTCACAATGAGTCACCCTATAATCCCAGTTAGTAGGGAGGCTGAGGCAGAAGGATCACAAGTTCAAGGCCAGCCTCTGCAATTCAGACATTGTCTTAAAATTAAAAAAAAAAAATTAAAAAGCAGGGGAAGTGCTGTCCAGCACATGCCTGTAATCCCAGAGGCTCAGGAGGCTGAGGCAGAGGGATTGCTAGTTCAAATCCAGCCTCAGCAATAGCAAGGCGCTAAGCAACTCATGAGACCTTGTCTCCAAATAAAACACAAAATAGGGCTGGGGATGTGGCTCTGTGGTTGAGTGCCCCTGAGTTCAATCCCCAGTACTCCCCTGCCCCAGGTTAAAAAAAAAAAAAAAAGGAGGGGAAGTAGCTCCGTGATGTAACACTTGTCCAGCAAGCACAAGGCCCTGGAGCAATCTCCAGTACTTCAAACATAAATATTAAAAACGAAGCCATGGCCCTTCAGTGTACCTCTGTCAAAATACACAGCGGTGTGAGATCTGAGATGAAATTGCACAAATCAGAATCTAACAGAGTGCTTAGTCCACAGGCCAGAGTGCAAGGATGGAACCCAGATGCAAGGTGCAGGAGGCCCCAATTCAAGAGGCCAATTCTAAAGTGATCAGAGCATAGCAAGTAGCCAAATTTGTCCCCTACACAAAAATGCTTCAGACAGCTGTTCACAATTCTCTCCAAAATGCTTGTACATACGTGCTTTCTCTCTATTTTTTCTTCCTATTTTGGGGACAACTCAGGGATATTCTACCACCAACATCCTCAGCCCTTTATATATTTTTATTTTGAGACAGGATTTCCTAACTTGCCCAACTGTCCAAGAACTTGCCATCCTCCTGACTCAGCCTCCCACAAAGCTGATACAGGTGTGCATCACTGCACCTGGCTAAAGCTCTCCCATTTTCATCTTTTTTTAAACGTTTGATTATATGGGGAAGGGGATAACTTTGATTAGATTCTAATTTGCAGATTGGAACAAATGATCTTTCTATTTAATATTTTTTAAGTTGTAGTTGGACACAATACCTTTATTTATTTATTTATTTACTTACTTATATGTGGTGCTGAGGATGGAACCCAGTGCCTCGCACATGCTAGGCTAGCACTCTACAGCTGAGCCACAACCCCAGTCCCGACACATGATCTTTTAAGAAATAGAATATGTCTGGGATTCTACTGAGAGTTGGTTTCATCAATATTTTAAATAACCTAAGGCCCATGAAGAATTTCTTTTGCTTGAATTGTGACAATAATGTACAAACTGTTCTTTTTTGTTTTGTTGTACTGGGAATTGAACCTAGGGGCACTTTACCACTGAACTACATCCCAACCCTTTTGAAATTTTATTTTATTTTGAGATAGCGTCTTGTTAAATTGCTTTGGGCCTCACTAAATTGCCAAGGTTAGCTTCTAACTTGTGATCCTCCTGCCTCAGCCTTCCGAATCAGCCTCCAGAATCACTGGGATTACCGGCATGTGTCACCATGCCTGGAAACTGTTATTAAAAACATGGTCCCTCAGTTCTTAAAATTGATCATCTAAAATGGATGAGTGCCCTTCTGGTTGGTTGGTTGGTTGGTTTGCCTCACAGGCYGTGTGATGCTTTTTGACTGAAGAAAGGTGTCTGTATCAGAATAAACCAGCTGATGCTGTAGTAACATACAACTTCAAAAATCTCAATGTCTCAAGACAASTAAAGGTTGCCTAGGTGCCAAGATCACTGCTGTCTTTGCCCAGGACTCAGGCTGATGAAATAACCCTTTCTGGAACGCTGCTGGTTATTGGCAAAGGGGAGAGAGCCCTCTAGAGAGCTTCACACCCATAATCAGAAGCGGGGTCCGGAGTGGAAATAATGAGTCATTTCCTCCTGTGGTCAGATTCAGTCACATGACCAGCAATGGGGACAGGTGGGGCAGGAGGTGCATTCCTAGGTCTGAAGGCAGGTGGTGAAACCCTTTGAACAGCACTAGTGACTACTTGAGTGCCTCTACCCAAATCCTTCCCCTAAATGAGACAATTTGTTCTGCAATCTCCTTATCCCTTGTTCTGTGGGATACCCCAGCTCAGCCCACTACCTGGTCTCTGCTTGAGCATTCTGTAACTTCTTTTTACATTGGACTCTCCGCATGAGCCAGTACACCAACCACTCATCACCACATCATCTCTTTATCCTTATCACAGTAGTTCAGTATGTAATTAAAAAAAAAATTTAGTTGTAGTTGGACACAATACCTTTATTTTATTCTTATGTGGTGCTGAGGATCGAAGCCAGGGCCTCCGCACATGCTAGATGAGCGCTCTACCACTGAGCCACAACTCCAGCTCCAGTATGTGATTTTTTTAAAATATTTTTTTAAGTTGTCAATGAACTTTCTTTTATTTATTTATATGCAATGCTGAGAATTGAACCCAGTGACTCACACATGCTAGGCAAGCACTCTACTGCTGAGCCACAACCCCAGTCCCTCAGTATTTTTTTTTTTTTTGTGAGAGAGACTTGCTCTCCTCACCAAATCCATGTTCTCTTCTCTGGACACAGAGATGACCCACATTTCCTAGTTTCTCTTGCAGGTAGAGAGGTATTACTGGATTCTAGCTGGCAGAATGTAATGGCACCAGTTCCAGGCCTGGCCTACAAAACCCCCATGTATGCTCTTCTTTCATGTTCCACTGGCTGAATTCCAATGCCCAGGGGATCTTGGAAGCTGGTGTTAAAGATGGCAGAAACTTTTCCCTCCAGGACATCTTTGGTTCTTAAACTGCTTCCCCGGACTCAGGGGCATCCACAGTGAACTCTTATAAGGCAGAAAYAAGCTTTTGTTTTGGCAGCTACTATTATCCTATTACACTCCCACTTCACAAAGGAAGCTAAGAAACTTGTCCAAGAGTTGCAGGGCTGTTTGTTCAGAAAACTCCTCACTAGATACTAAGTGTCTTTATGAAGCTGCTCAAGGATTTCTACAGCACTTCTAATGGTACAGTCCTCTAGCAGGTGGGAGAACATCAGTGGTCTGCTGTGTTCTGCTTCCGTCTGGGCAGTAATGCTACACTGGGCAAGGATGCCTGGCAGCTTGCTTCTCTCTTTAGTTTCTCCTTTCCTTGTCAATCCAAGTGCAGATGGGCGGCCAATTGCCCAGATACCAGAGTGCTGCGACAGCTTTCAGCACTCTGTCGCTGATGGAAATCTCTGACTGTGGCTTGGTTTCCCTRGTGCATGACTTCAATCTTCAGGCTGAGCACCGGGGTGCTTACACTGCAGAGTTTGTAGCATTGACATGCCTTCTTGCAGATGCASTCTGGGAGTGCAGACATCAGCATCTATCTACTGGATCATAATCAAAAGGTCTCATCAAAAGGCTAACCTAGGCAGAGTGGGGCATCTTTACAAAGGGCTAAGAGGACAGGGAGGTTAAAGGTATAAAAGAAATTCCAGAAGATGAGCTTGAAGCATTTGAGGGGTTATGGAAGCTAGCATTGAAACAATCTGTATTTATTGATTGATTTAAAATTACAATAATTAAAATTAAAATTACATTTGATTTAAAATTACATGCTTACTGCAACACAAACAATTCTGAAGAACGAGAAGTAAAAACATTAAAGTTCTGTTTCCATCTGAAACCTACTTCTCTGTAATTACTGTTGTTTGATAGCTTTGCATCCTAAGAGTCATTAAAAAGAAACCAAAGTTTTCAACCTATGCTGAACCAGCTAATTACAGCTAATGCTTTTCAGGCTTTTACCACGGGCCAGGTACTGCTGTACAAACTTGCTGCATTTTCACACTTAATCCTCAAAACAATGCCTTGAATGAGCTACCATTAGCAAGTACACCTTCCAAGCAAGGAAACTGACCTAGAAAAGGACTGAATTGATTCCCAGGCCACTTACTCCATGGATGGCAAAGCCAGACTTCGAACCCAAGCAGTATGGCTGTGGAGTTTATGCAATGAGTCAGCTGAGCCACCCTTTAATTAGTAAATGACAAGCGTCTAGGATAGGGTACATTCTATGTGGTGGACCGGGGATGAACCCGATTACAGGGATAAAGAATTGGAAATGGTAGCATTTAAGTATCGACTCTCCTAACTTCCCTGARTCTTAGTGATTTCATTTGTAAAATACAGCCAACAGGGCAGATGTTACTGGGTATCGATATTAATAAATCGATGATTCTAAAGGGTCATGTAAATACCTAAAATTACTCCATTTATC